GATCGATATCTAGAACTCCATTAGAGCCCTATATTACTTGAGCGATACGTATACTTGCGTTGATAAGTGTGAATTTACTATTATTGAATATTTTATATATACATCTTTATTGAATCTATAATCGTTATTAAGTTTTGGTGTCGTTGTTGAGAAATTAAATCTTTTAGCAGTAGTATTAAATACTTATATTTTTAAGCATATATAAAGTCGATGTTACTTTCCCATGAAATCAAATGTGATTATCTTTATGCCGTAGAAATCATATCCCTTTTCAGAACATATATATATAAACAAGTTTTAACATTTTAATTGGCCAGATCGAAAAGTAAATGAAGATCAAAGTTTAAATCATCACAAATTATTAATATTTAAAAACATAGAAAACAAAATCAATTCTTCACAAAAACATAACTCAAAGTAGGGAGAAGGATAAAGAAGACTACTCAGAATTCACGAGAACGATACGACAAAACACGGATTTCATATATAAAAATAAGTTTACAAAACAAAAGAAATAAAAGACACAACTTATCTCACAATCCTTTGTAAGCAAATCCTTAGAAGTTCTCTCCAAGTCTTTCACTATTTACAATCCCACTCAATTCTCTCTTAGAAGTGTAATGAAGAAGAAATCTCTCACCTTCCCTCTTCTCTTACAACCCTAGAAGAAAATCTCCTCTTCTCTTCTCTTGCCTCTCACAAAAACTTTCTCTCTCCCTTTCTCGTCTCTTTCAACTCTATGAAGTCATCTTTTTTTATTTCGGGTTGCCTCCTTTGAAAAAGAATTCAAAATTTCCCTCCAAAAGTCAACTCTTTTGAATTCAAAAGATGTGTCATTTGATCCAAGAGACATTTCCCTTCATAAAAGAACCTTCCAAAGTGTCTAGATTCATTGAATTACTCCAATAGGTGTGTAGAATAAATGCCCCTTTAAAGATTTGCGCAAAATTTGTCACGAACCGCCTTAATTTTCAAAAAGTCGTCTCTAGGCATTGTGCGTCAGAATCCCAAAATTCGTTGTTTTGGTTCTAAATTTCATTCTTTTTGTCATTTTTGCTCCAAATGCCTAAAAATGATATACCTGCAACAAAAAACATGAAAATACCCTTCTTTAAAGTGCAATATTACCAAAAATAAGCATAAAATATGTGCTTAAAATAATAAATTATTTTGGTGTATCAGATGACAGACGCATGGGTCTTTTAGAAGAAGTGATTCAACCCCCATGTTTTCTTCTGCATAGATAACTTGGCCTCTTAATAGAAGGTGTAAAGGGAAGGTGTGGGAAAATTTTCCTGATTGACGATGTTGTATTGGACAAAGATTTGAGCTTACCACACAAATTGTTGTTGGTAGTGGCGCTCATTGTGTCTAACATGGCGGCCTAGGGAGAATACATTATAGGAACTGAAAAATATTTTCTTACTTTTTATTCTCCCATGTGATCAAGTAATAAAACTTATTTAAAATAAAACTTATTTATTAAGTAATAAAACTTTTTTAAAATTTAGATTTTCCTTCTTAACAAACTAAAATAAAAGAACATATTGTTTTAATTATGCTAGTCAACATTCACAATTTTTTTAAAAATAAGAATAATAATATTAATAACCATTGATTAGGTCAAACTTAATTTAATCAATAAATTAGTTTAATTGATTAATAATTATATTTTTAAATGGTGTAAACTGCTAGTACAACTTGGTGTCATGATTACTGTCTCGAAGTAATTGATGTTTGTGGGAGGATAAATGGACCCTAACTAGTTAGAAGCATCATTCATTATTAATTGTAGTAAAAACAGATCTATTGCTTATGTTTTGTCAGTATTATCCTTACTACTTCAATTATGTTGTTGCACTTGTTATAGTCTTACTTTACTCTTCAAGCTAAAATTATTAGCTATCATAAGTTATTGTTGCATATTTGAATAATCTCGCACTTGTAGTGTTTTTCTTTTCTTGCATTTCATGAACTTGCATGTGGATTTATGTCATATCACAAACCTGTGTAAAATTAGGCACTTCTTACATATTATACCTGTGAAAATAATTTAGCACGCTTTTGTGTGATGATGAATAGGTCGGTAAAACCCTTTTGGATTTTGGCTAGCCGGGTCGACGGGCCCATAGAGTGACAACTCTGCAGAAAATTGCCGAATTTTCTTTGGTCGGTATTTGAATTTCCCGGTTCTAGTGTGTCTATTACAACCGATTATATAAATCTAAATGAAAAACATAATAATAACAAAAATGATTGCATGTTTCATTGTGACATTTGGGCATATTTGGTTTATCACTCTCCTTTTACTTCATGATGTATATATGCATGAAGCACTCGTTCTTATTTGTTGTCCATATTGTATGCTTTATTCTCATTGTCATTTATGCTTTAATAGATAGTTGTTATTTACTGAATTTGTCAAAATCATTATTGATTTTTGCATAACATTTTCTATTCAACCACCAATAGGACTGACTTCACCCAAGCAAGCTTTTTAGTCATAGTTTCCTAATTTTAGTTTTTTTCAATATTTATTTTATCTATTATATTTTCTTAGTTGAGTCTAGATGTTTGTTCTATGTTGTCATGTATATTTTGATTCAGCTAAATTTTTATTTTTAGTCCAAGTTGTATCATTGAACTTTCAACATTAATAAAATGTAATTTTTTTTAATGCAATTCTTTCTTTGAAAAAAAATAAAGCAGGCTTAAATCATTTTCTCATGCCCTGCGTTGTTAGGTTGCACCACCTTCCGGATTTGGTATGTGGCATACATCAAACTGAAGCTCCCAGGTTTGCTCAACCTCAGAGCGGGGGTAGGAAGATGTTATGGGAGAAAAAAAGTGTTAAGCTTCTCTTGCTCCTTATAAGAATGATGGTAGCTTTTATGATGGCGTGCTCAGAGCTGATTCACTCCTCTCCCTTCTCTACATAGGACTACGACACTTTTCAATAGATTACATTGCTACAAATAATTGATAATAATGACTACAAATAAGATACACAATATTATGCAATACATAATAGAATAAAAGCAAAATATAGGGAAAATGCTCTAAAAATACACTATAAAATTGAATTACAACTTTTTTTTTAAAAACCTAATATTAACTAAAATAATTTTTGTCATTGAATACCTGACAATAATACCAAATAACTTGATCCAAATGCACAATGTATGAACCTGCACGTGTCATTTTAATAAGGTGATTTAGTATAAGTTTGTTCTCATGAGGAATCAAGATCAAATTTTAAACAAAGTTAATTACTAGTTCAACTTCAAATTAGATTTCATATAATTGATAATGAATTTTTTTTAATTTTTCTAAGAAAATGAAAAAATTGATTTTTTAGTATTTTTAAATTTTGAGAATTCTTTGAACTAATGAATATCTAGAATTCTTTTAATTCTACACTAGGTTTTTTTCTAAATTTGTTGTCAATTGAGAATAGTTTTACTCATTTATCTTCGTTAGTCTTCATATTATACTTTAGGTTCATCTAAATCGTACAAAAGACTCCAGTAAATCCTTTTCCTTCTTAGATAAAACGTTTCAAAAATTATATATATTTTTTATTTCCAGAGTAACTCAATGTTAACCTTACCGTTTCACTATTTTTCAATTAAAATTATTATATCATAGTTAATTTTAAAATACACTTAAGTAAAATGTACTTAAATTAAATTTAGGGTTAACAAAATTATATGAAATTGATTTATTCCAAACCATAATTACAAATATTTAAATACTACAAAGTAAACACCTGCTCAAAGAAAAATATTTAATTACTTTATATGATCACTAAACACAAGTAAAAAATAAGGAAACACGGTTCAAAAATACAATTAGATATATGGGATAGCACTCGGATTAAGCCACGATGCAAACTCCACTCTTAATCCCCTTCAATTGAATCGTTACATAACATTCTTCTCAGTCTCATTCACTCCCCTCACCCACACTTAATACATACACACACACACACACACACACACTAAATTCTCTCTTTCTCCAACGTCCACACACTTTAATATACTCTATAGTGTTCAAATATACTTCCCAACCATCCAATCTCACACAATAAATCTCTTGGTTCTACTTCACATTGAACGGAAATTATCATATTAGAGTGTAGTGTTGTGGCACCATAACACCATGAATTAGCACTACAACATTGCTGATATAGCGTTGCAATGCTCAATTGTCATGTAGCAGTGCCACACCCTATATTTGTTGGCTACAACTCTTTTTTTGGATGAGGCTACAAATGTACTGTTTTAATGCTAGAATTATAGCCCCTCAATACTAGGAAGTGGCGATGTGGCACCAAATTTTTAATTTGCTACCTTGAATATTGGGATTTCTAGCAATTTGACACTGCATGTTTGGCACCACAATGTTTAATGTATTTCTGCTCTTCTATCTTTAATTTATCTTATTAAGTTTTTCATAAATATCAAATAAAAGTACCATAAAAGCACAAAAAACCTTATAATTACTAAGAAAGTGCATGTGTTTTTTATGCAAATTTGTACGCTTAAAAACACTTCAAAGCATTATTTATTCTAAGTAGATAGATTGCTAACTCAAATGTGGTAATGTGGTTAGTAGGGTCATATGCACCCCTATAAGATTCCAAGGATAGGATTTTGAATTACTTTGAAGCCTCTACTGTTGTAATCTCCATGGAGAAGACATTCTCTAGTTGATGCCTTCTAGAGGCTTTAACTTGCCTTCTCTCCCTTCTGTAATCCAAATGAGAGGAGTGTAGTTATTAGGAAGTACATTTTTTTCTTGTCTTGTTGAGTAGAAATTAAGACTCTTCTTGTATTAGCGACATGTTTTCTCTTTCAACTTTCTATGAATTCTAATAAGAAGGATGTCACTTGTACTCTCAGTCTTACCATTAGTACACGATCTTGGGTCCCCATAATTACCATCGTCATTTCTTCTTTTAGTTAATTTATTTGTTGCACCATAATTTTTTTAGCGTATTACATGTTACTAGAGATTTTCTTATTGCTTTTTAGTTAATAGATATGTTGCACCACTATTTTTTAGTGTACTCCATGTCACTAAAGATTTTCTTATTGCTTCAATCTTATTTTTATGTAACTCATATTTTTGTTTATGACATCATCCACACACACTATACTTTAGGATTTTAAATCTGATTTGACGGTGGATTGATACCACCAAGGCAAGGGCTGTAAGAAAATTAGAACACAAAGAACATTGGTGAAAAAATTCAGAAAGACACATATCAAATTCTCCAAATTTGAATCCTCTCATATTATATTGATCACCTCTATTTATAGAAGGGTTGGCTTATATATTTCAAATAATGCATTTGCAATATATGAATCTCAAAGGATGTGTTATCTACACTCTTTATCTTATTCTTTACCTTTTTAGGATAACCCACATTGGTATATGCCTTATCCTCTTATCTTCTTTTTTTCTTGAGCATTTTATAATACCTTATTTCAGCAACTGCTCTGTATTAATGCTTCTACTTAGGAGTTTCCCTTCTAGTTATGCTTTTGTCAATCTATTCAACCATGAGACAAGCTTGCAAAATCCATCTATTTGCCTTAAGAAAGATTGATTTCAAGGTTGTTGTGCATTTCTATCCAAGTTGATCTCCTAAGTAAGTTACCAGAGTTGTCATAGTCTAATACTGAGAGCTAATCATATTAGGTAAACCGCTCTATCGTGTTCCCTAGTCGAACTATTTAAACATTTTAACATACTCAAACTATCTTATTGGTTCAACGAATTGATGTGCATTATCCCTTGAATCCAATCTCAATGGTTATGATCACACAATTCTAATTATAAAAGGGCTTTTATTTGAGTCTTTACATACTTACCAACCAATTATTAATATATCAACCATCTAAACTTCAATTTTTACTTAAAGATCCTTCTATTTCTATCTTTTTGCATATGTTAGTGGTAAGACATGGAGTACATGTGATTCATATGTTAATACATATGAATTGGGTGGTGGAAATGTCTGCCTTTTTAGTATGGCGTAGCATCCGATTCTCTACGTCGCCTTCTTGCCCGCTCGAAGAGAAGGCGTTACTCAGTCACCTTTTCCCCTGCCCTTCTCGCTCCGCGCAATGCCTTCCTTCATCGCTCTTCTCCCTCTAGACTCCTCTGCTACAAGCTTTGGGTAAAATTTGCTTCGAATCCTTCAACTGTATGCGCGACTCCCATGAATTCCTTTCTTGTGGAATCCTGGTGGCTCTCTGGGGTTGCTTTACTTTGGATGGCGAAAAGAGATAAGGAATCTGAACTGTTGCGCTCCACATACCATGTAATCGCTTCCCGTCTCTACGCATGGAATCCTTCTTCTTCTCCTCCTCTAGCTTCCAAATTAACATTAGAGCATCTTCTCGTAGCTTTGTTAGTTTTTACCTGCATCCCCGACTTCTTCCTTGGGTATTATTTCGGAGACGAATAGAACTATGCTGCAGAATACGAGTTTCGATGGAAGGTTTGGAATGATGCCCTTCTTTTTCTGCTTTGGTTCCATGCTCTTTCTACCTTTCCACCAGGGTAAACTTTCTTTTCCACACTGCATTTTATAATTCCGCACCAACTCTTATTGGAATCTTCTGCAAAGGTTTTTATTTTTAATCACATCAACTCTTCATCACATTTCTCAGTGATGATGAAGCTTCACAGAAGCAAACTTCATTAATTACATCAACCTCAAGGTTTACACAGTTCAACTTTCTTAGTAATTAAAACTTAGAAGGATTCGATGTTGGAATCTTTTCTCTGGAATGGTAACTGGCTTTTTTCTAGATTTAAACCATTGATGGCTTCGTAGCCATTATGCTGAAGTCCATTCTCTAATGTCTGAGTAAATCATAGAAACATTTGATATAGATCATTTTATAGAAAATTCTAGTTAATTTTTAAATTTTTGTTCATTTTGATCATATTGAAATCTATCGTGGAAAAATTTTCTTGTTCTTCTATGAAGTTTGAAATATTTGCAGCTGATTTGGGCAATTTAGGGAGCAATCTCATATGCTATAAATGTCTTGTTTCATACATATATTTTCTATGCTTCTTCTTAAGTTCCTCTAAAATGACTAATAATTTAAGTAATGATGCTTATTCCTGCATAATTTGTATTAAAAACCAAGATAATTGAAATAAAAATTAACTTGTGATTCCCATGGGAGGATTCTTTTCGCAATAGTCTTAAACATAACACCAAACTTTAGTACTCTATGCTTTTTTACTTTGTATTTCACATTATTTGTCTGCACTTGAAAAGCTAGTTTAGTTACCTGTTTATCCTTAAGAAAGTGATTACTTTTATAATTTAATGAACTATCAATCACCACATAGTGATTTTCTTTCCAGTGTAATCCTTTGATAAGATTGATTTTGCTTGCGCTGTTACAACCGCGATTGATTTAGTAAAGTTGTCGAACACATATGCTTATTTTGATCATCTTTTTTTGGATGACCTCTACTAATAGAGAACTCTTGATTATGACAGCATGCAGTTGGTTTTCGTAGAGTATATAATTCACCTTTATATTTCAACCTAAAAGCCTTAATCATTAAATTTTCTAATGTGAATGTAGATATTAATCAGCATTGTGAACCAATTGTTATACTTAAGTAACATGGCTGATGCCTAGTCTGAGCTATAAATCTAACTTGGGACATAAGGACATCAAAGGTACTTATGGTAAGTTAGGTTTTGATTTTGTTAGTTTATATTATGATAAATAAAGCTTTTAAAGGCATTGATCATAAAAGTACCCTTACAAGTCTGGAATTTTCGACCATGGTATATGCAACTTAATTTCATGAAGTAAATGAAACCGATTACTTGATAAACGTGTATTATGATAAGGAAATGGTTGCAGCATTCAGTTAATTTGCAAATCAAAATTAGGAGCACACCAATGTTTCCACCATAAATTACTTTCTTTTTTATTAAGGAACCCTATAAATACCTGATATAAAATAGACAATAGGTGCAATTCAGTCTGTTCATTGTATCAGCTTGAGGTGAGTATGCTTTGAAAGAAATGCTTGCATTGGAAATCCTTAAATAGGCTCATATATAATAAATGTTACTTCACTCGCCAACCTATTACAATTTACCAGCATAAATTTCATGGATAGGTAAGAGAGTTTAGAACTTTAAGACGTTGTTTGGTAGCATACAATTAACAGGACTTAGGGATGGATTTAACTTAAATTCAGCCAAATACCAAAAAATGAAACTTAAATCTATTGCTCTATTAAATTGAAATTTTTTGTGTTTTGTTACTTTTCATCATCGCGTTCTGTCTCTATTATGACATAAATCCGGATTTATTAAATCCAAATAAGAAACGGATTTAAATGATTTATTTTGCCATTGATGAGCTCCATCTCTATCGCAGGATTTATCAGATTTACTAAATCCTTTTTAACGTAAATCCCAGTACAAACCAAACACCGCCTAAATGTGTTATTAAGCCTTGCATTTATCTGCTAAGACACCCAGAGTGTTTCTTTGTAGACAAATTTAAATGTTTCTCTATTTTTTGTCGTTCAATACATTTTCCTTGCAGCATACAAATCCCAGTACTTTATATTACAATTTCTTTCTTCCATTCATATTTTTGATCTATTACTGTTGTAATATAAACCTTTGTCGGCACATTGATTGAAGTTGACAATTTAATTGTCAAACTGTTGACATTCTGAATCTACTTCTAGAGGTGCATGAATTTGTGGCCCTGACACTATTACTCTGATTTACTTCTGAATACTAATGCCAATTTATTATATAATGCATATGTGAGGTTCAAACTTTTTACCATAGATCACCGCTGGATGCGCTTCTTATAAATCCAGGTAATTATTGAGCATACCATGATTTTGCACAGGCGTGCTGATGGCTCATGCATTTACTGGTACTTATGGGATAAATTATGGTAGAATTGCTGATAACATTCCTCCACCTGAAAGTGTTGTAACACTCTTGAAAGCAGCAAGGGTGAAAAATATCAAAATCTTTGATGCTGACCATGATGTTATTCAGGCATTTAAGGGGTCTGGGCTGCAGTTGGTGGTTGGAATTGGGAATGAGTATCTTAAAGACATGAGTGTAAATGAAGAGCGCGCCATGGACTGGATTAAAGAGAACGTGCAGGCCTTTCTTCCTGGTACCCATATCAGTGGAATTACAATTGGGAATGAAGTTTTAGGAGGATCAGATCAGGGACTAGAAGAGGCTCTCTTAGGTGCTATAAAAAATGTTTACAGTGCCCTGAGCAGGCTTCAACTTGCAGATGTTATTGAGATTTGGACGCCACATTCTGAGGCTGTGTTTGCTAACTCTTATCCTCCTTCATCCTGCATCTTTAAAGAGAGTGTTCTGGTTTATATGAAACCCATTCTGGAATTCTTCTCACAGCATGGCTCCCCTTTCTATGTCAATGCATATCCATTCCTGGCTTACAAAAGTGATCCTGAGCATATCGACATTAATTATGCTCTCTTTCAGTCAAATTCTGGAATATATGATGCAAAGACTAACCTGCACTATGATAACATGTTTGATGCTATGATAGATGCTGCTTATGCTGCTCTGGAAACTGCTGGCTATAACAACATGGAAGTTCGGGTTTCTGAGACCGGATGGGCGTCTAATGGGGATGAAGATGAAGCAGGAGCTACCATTCATAATGCAAGAACATACAACCTTAATCTGCGTAAGCGGCTTTTAAAAAAGAAAGGGACTCCGCTTCGGCCAAAAAAAGTGGTGAAGGCTTATATCTTTGCATTATTTAATGAGAATCTGAAGCCAGGGCCAAGTTCAGAGAGACACTATGGACTGTTCAAGGCTGATGGCAGCATTTCATATGATATTGGATTCACAGGGCTCAGGCCTTCCTCTGCTTCTCAATCTCTAGCCTCCCTCAAGGTATTTCATATTTCATACATCCTTTTGTCTATTTTTGAATGAGTGTGAATGAATATTCTTAAATGATCACTCTTGCTTTTCAAACTAAACCAAAGAAGCAATTTTGTCTACTTAACTCTCTTGCAATGATTTTGAATGGTGTTCCTTTGCAACTCACTTTAAACTCTGGCTTGTTATTTTCAGGGACTTAATGCTAGAAGTTGGTGCAAGCCCTACTCTAAGGTGGTTGCATCATGTGCCATAGTTTTGCTTCTGGCTTTGTTAATATGACATTACTTTAACATTAGATGCTAATGTAAAAAGCCAACATGAACATGCCAGTCAAAACTTGTAAGCTTCTTTCTCTGCACAGTGTTTGAAGTACCCAATTGTAGCATTTAAACTTCCATTTCCAGGAAACTGCTGATCATGTTATAAAAATTGAATCAAGGCATTTTTTTTAATTTGTGAGGTTAATACCAATAAGATGCTATGATTTAATGACTGTAATCTTAATCTAATATTATATTGTTAAAGCCAACCAATGAAATAAAATTTGATTTTTTGAATATTTAAAATTTATCAAAGTAGTTTTAAAAGTTTGTTCAAGAATTTCACAATTATTAAATAGTTGAAATTCAAAATATTCAAAGTATATGGAAATATCTAAATTTATTATTAAAGTTTAGAAAATTAATATTCTGAAACTCAAAACTCAAATGATATGTCAAATTTTAAATCAAAGGCCAAAATCCTAGGTTTCTTAATTAAGAAAATAATTAAGGGCACAAGAGATTAATTGGAGAAATTTTGAAAATTAATCAATCATAATCAAAATTTACTTGATCATACTTTTAAATCTAGTCCTCAGGCGTGGTTGCACAGGTGAGGGGTGTCGCAGCCCAAGCGGCTTAAGGCGTGGCTATGCCTATTTTACGCGTGGCCCTTACATTCAAAGCACGGCTTAAGGCGTGGCTATGCCTATTTTACGCGTGGTCATGCTGGACCCTTACACTCAAAGCTTCGGTTGGAGCAATTTTACATATCGTTCGGACCACTAGAGTCTCCAAATAGACGGAATATGGTCTTTAAATATTAATATGGGCATTAAATATATCCCAGATCGTAATTATTACCATTCAACGATGAGTTTTCTCGGGCAGGGTTTAATCGGTATTGTTCCTAATCCCATGCTTGAGACACGTACCAGAAGACCCAAATGCATTTTTTGGACTAGGAGAGGCTGAAAACAGTCACATAACATTCAAGTAGACACCCGGCACAAATGCCTTATTGAAAGGTCATATCATAGGTCTACACAAGTTCCACCATTGAAGTGCTAATACCCTAACCTAGACATATGCGCGATTGATACGCTTCTTAAAATTTAACTGGTGAATTAACATATTGATTGATGCAATGGATATGTATGCCAAATGCACGAAATTGTGGTGACAATTAAGTAGCACCAAGGAGATACCTACGTATCACTGAGGTGCTAGTTGTGTAGTGTTAAGGAGCTTCATAACCATTTATAGTTTTATGATGTTTATTCTATTTTTTTTCTAGTAGAAGTTTAAAAGGAGAACAATTTGGAGAAAAAAATGAACAAAATTATCTGTAGTGCCACAACACTAGAAGCACAATGTCATAGTGCTATAAACCCTTAAATTCAAGACAAATTTCTTAGTGCTCAACTCCATAATGTTGAATTTAAGCGCCACAACACCAAAGTTTCAGTAAAAAAAAAAATGAAAAATTTGTAGAACCATAACACTATAAAAGGCCATAATGGTGGATAAACTTGAGAGTATAATATCATTACACCATTTTTTTTTTAATTTTTTTTTGTTGGAGCACTATCATTGAAGCATTGCAACATTATCCAATTGTCTAGTAGAAGTTTAAAAGGAGAACAATTTGGAGAAAAAAATGAACAAAATTATCTGTAGTGCCACAACACTAGAAGCACAATGTCGTAGTGCTATAAACCCTTAAATTCAAGACAAATTTCTTAGTGCTCAACTCCATAATGTTGAATTTAAGCGCCACAACACCAAAGTTTCAGTAAAAAAATGAAAAATTTGTAGAACCATAACACTATAAAAGGCCATAATGGTGGATAAACTTGAGAGTATAACATCATTACACCATTATTTATTTATTTTTTTGTTGGAGCACTATCATTGAAGCTTTGCAACATTATCCAATTAACAACACAATGCTAGTACATGACAAAGTTGAAGCCAATAACTTAAGAGTGTGGTGTCATAATGCAACTTATGAGCACCACAATGCTACATCAACAACATCACAAAACTACTTCATAGCTCCATAGCGCCACGAACCTATAGAATATACTTTTTACTCCGTCGAAGAGTACGCCCTATGGAGTTATTGAGTAAATAAGGGTAGTTTGAACAATGATGAAGTATTTAGAGTGAGTGTGTATAGTGTTTGAAGACTTTGTGTCATTTTGTGAGTGAGTTTTGTGTGTGAGTGTGAGAGAAAAAGTGTGGTTGTGTAAGTGGAGGGGAGCAAGAGCAGATTTAGTTTTCAAGACTTAAATTGGTTTCTATTTCTTCTAAGTTAGATTTTTTTTTGTCATTCATTTTGATGTTTTTGTTTTTATTTTTATTGAATATGTGTGAGAAGTATGTCCATACTCTTTGAATGAGTGTTATCCTTGAAATTTTATGTATTTTGCTCATTGGTTTAGAATGTAAATGAAGGTTATGTTATTTTGTTAACCTAAGTTGTAATTTAAATACATTGTAGCTTGCTATATTTTAAAGTCAATTGTGATCTTGCATTTTTTATGAAAAATAATGGAATAATAGGGTTATCTTATTTTTTGAAATATAGGAATAATATTTTTGGGAAATTACAATCTTATTTAGAAATATGAATTACAAAGTTTTTTTCAATGTTTAGGATATGAATATCACTAAATTATAGTATGAAAACAAAATGTATAAATGGAGATTAAGAAATATTGATGTCATTGATTGACAACTACTAATAGGAGAACCTAACAAAAATTTATATATATCCTTTAGGTACTTACAAGTTAGAGAACCTTTATTATTTCAAAAATCCTAAAATTTTAGCTTTTAAGAACTTCAAAACTTGATTTCTTCTTCACAATTTATTACTCTTATCGACGCTTCTCCATTGAGCTTCTATCATGATTCCTTGCACATTGGTGCCAAGGGCTATGCATTAGGGAGAAAGTTGAGAGTAATTAGATGCCACAATCTCTTATATTTTGATATGCTTAAGATAATTAAATTATGCTAATTAATAATACTTAGTTAGATCTTATTTTATCTATAGGTCATACTTGAATCTTTGTTATTCAAATAGAATATAAATGTTTGAAAAAAGGATGCAAATGGAGAATGATGGTCCACTAAAAAAAGTTCAAGTATAGTGACATTATTGGTGATAGGAAGAGTTAAAGCTTTGGGCTCTCATAAAAGCTCTTATTTATAAGCAGAGATCTAGGTTTTTTAGAGTTATAGAAATGTTAAATAATGATAAATACATGTAGAAAAAGCACAAAAAATATAAAATATATGTATTCTCTATAGAAGTGTAAGTGAGCCAAGTTGAATCATGATCCAATCCAAACTCGACTCATTAACAAGCTTACAAGTCAAGCTTATTAAATTGTGATCTCAAATTCAAGCTTATAGAGGCTCGACTTGTTGGCTCACGAGCCTACTCAACTAGTTAGCCACTCGCAACATCAATAGCTTCTCTAGAGAAATCCCATAGCAGTTTTCTCCTCTTCTCCAAGCAATGGTCATGCATATGCCTTCTTAAATGAACTCCCAAAGCAATCTCTTGTTCAACTTGAGCTCATAAGTTGACTCACTAGCCCACTATTCTTGTTGCGATGCAAGCTCGAGCTCCCCCTTTGAGGTTGATTAAAGCTCCAACTTGAGTTCAAGTTTGTAATTTGGCAGATGAGCTAAGCTCAAAGCTAGGCATGACTCAAGTTTGGCTCAAATCATTACACCCTTAAACCTTAATACTGAATTGTACTCAAACCATCAGTTAGTTTGTGGAGGAGTCACTTGATCATTAGCGGCATGGACCGAGAGGCTTCTACAGTTGTAACAGACCTATCCAATCGAGTTAGTTTGTTGATCATTAGCAGCTAGACTTGGCCGCTTCGTTTGATGAGCCCATCTTCATGACTTTTTTTTTTAGCGAGTTCATTCATTGAGATATACAATCAGTGTAAGTAATTTTAATCAACGATTAATATAATTAAAAATAACAATACATAAAATAAAATTGAATTATGAAGACATTTCCAAATAATTCATAAGAATATTTAATGAATTTAGTAAAAACTATACTAAACAATTTAAAAAATTCAATCACTATAATATTTATTAAATTCAAATTTAAACTATTAGTATTAACTAATAAATCCTTCTTAGTTAAATACCACTAGAGATTACGAGGGAACATTACGTTTGGAGTCTGGACTTAAACTGTATTCGGGCAACAACTGGGATCCACCTTAAACAACAGTGGTGGAAAAATAAATAAAAAGGAACTATGGTGGATTATCCAGAACTCCATACTCTTTTGAGGAAAAAATATTGCATCAGTACTACGCATGTAGAGTAACGTGCGTAGCCAATGAAATCACACCATGATACCCTGCGCGACAAATAAAAAAAACGGCACAGTAACACCTGGAATATTCCCCCCGTGTTATTCATGTGTTATTGTGTGTTATTCATGTGTTAACACATGAATAACACACAATAACACATGAATAACACGGGGGGAATATTCCAGGTGTTACTGTGCCGTTTTTTTTATTTGTCGCGCAGGGTATCATGGTGTGATTTCATTGGCTACGCACGTTACTCTACATGCGTAGTACAATATTTTTGATGTTATAATAACACAATAACACATCAATAACACATGAATAACACATAATAACACATGAATAACGCACAATAACACATGAATAACACAGGGGGAAATATTCTCTGTGTTACTGTGCCGTTTTTTTTTGCTCTGTCATGCGAGATGTCGTGGCGTGATTTGATTGGCTATGCAAGTTATTTTTACATGCCTAATAATGATGTAATATTTTTTCTCTTTTGAGAGGGTTGAGGGAAATCAGCCCTAAAAGGCCTAAACC